GATATAGGAAAGCAATGGTTTTGTAACAGTTGTGGATGAGTGGAACAAACTCCCCAGTACTGTTTACCTGGAGTTTACCTGGAGAGAGTTCCGGGGGTCAACGCCCCCGCGGCCCGGTCTGAGACCAGGCCTCCTGGTGGATCAGAGCCTGATCAACCAGGCTGTTGCTGCTGGCTGCACGCAAACCAACGTACGAGCCACAGCCCGGCTGATCCGGAACTGACTTTAGGTGCTTGTCCAGTGCCAGCTTGAAGACTGCCAGGGGTCTGTTGGTAATCCCCCTTATGTGTGCTGGGAGGCAGTTGAACAGTCTCGGGCCCCTGACACTTATTGTATGGTCTCTTAACGTGCTAGTGACACCCCTGCTTTTCATTGGGGGGATGGTGCATCATCTGCCAAGTCTTTTGCTTTCGTAGTGAGTGATTTTCGTGTGCAAGTTCGGTACTAGTCCCTCTAGGATTTTCCAGGTGTATATAATCATGTATCTCTCCCTCCTGCGTTCCAGGAAATACAGGTTTAGGAACCTCAAGCGCTCCCAGTAATTGAGGTGTTTTATCTCCGTTATGCGCGCCGTGAAAGTTCTCTGTACATTTTCTAGGTCGGCAATTTCACCTGCCTTGAAAGGTGCTGTTAGAGTGCAGCAATATTCCAGCCTAGATAGAACAAGTGACCTGAAGAGTGTCATCATGGGCTTGGCCTCCTAGTTTTGAAGGTTCTCATTATCCACCCTGTCATTTTTCTAGCAGATGCGATTGATACAATGTTATGGTCCTTGAAGGTGAGATCCTCCGACATAATCAATCCAGGTCTTTGACATTGGTGTTTCGCTCTATTTTGGGGCCAGAATTTGTTTTGTACTCTGATGAAGATTTAATTTCCTCATGTTTACCATATCTGAGTAATTGAAATTTTCATCGTTGAACTTCATATTGTTTTCTGCAGCCCACTGAAAGATTTGGTTGATGTCCGCCTGGAGCCTTGCAGTGTCTGCAATGGAAGACACTGTCATGCAGATTCGGGTGTCATCTGCAAAGGAAGACACGGTGCTGTGGCTGACATCCTTGTCTATGTCGGATATGAGGATGAGGAACAAGATGGGAGCTAGTACTGTGCCTTGTGGAACAGAGCTTTTCACCGTAGCTGCCTCGGACTTTACTCTGTTGACGACTACTCTGTGTTCTGTTAGTGAGGAATTATAGATCCATCGAACCGACTTTTCCTGTTATTCCTTTAGCGCGCATTTTGTGCGCTATTACGCCATGGTCACACTTGTCGAAGGCTTTTGCAAAGTCTGTATATATTACATCTGAATTCTTTTTGTCTTCTAGTGCATTTAGGACTTGTCGTAGTGATCCAGTAGTTGAGACAGACAGGAGCGACCTGTTCTAAACCCATGTTGCCCTCGGTTGTGTAACTGATGGGTTTCTAGATGGGTGGTGATCTTGCTTCTTAGGACCCTTTCAAAGATTTTTATGATATGGGAGGTTAGTGCTATTGGTCTGTAGTTCTTTGCTGTTGCTTTACTGCCCCCTTTGTGGAGTGGGGCTATGTCTGTTGTTTTTAGTAACTGAGGGACGACCCCCGTGTCCATGCTCCCTCTCCATAGGATGGAAAAGGCTCGTGATAGGGGCTTCTTGCAGTTCTTGATGAACACAGAGTTCCATGAGTTTGGCCCTGGGGCAGAGTGCATGGGCATGTCATTTATCGCCTGTTCGAAGTCATTTGGCGTCGGATAACATCGGATAGGCTTGTGTTAATCAAATTTTGTGGCTCTCTCATAAAAAATTCATTTTGATCTTCGACTCTCAGTCTGGTTAGCGGCTTGCAAAAAAACTGAGTCATATTGGACTTGAGTAGCTCACTCATTTCCTTGCTGTCATCTGTGTAGGACCCATCTTGTTTAAGTAGGGGCCCAATACTGGACGTGTTCTCGATTTTGATTTGGCATAGGAGAAGAAATACTTTGGGTTTCTTTCGATTTCATTTATGGCTTTTAGTTCTTCCCGCGATTCCTGATCTTAAAGGATTCTTTTACCTTAAGTTCGATGCTTGCTATTTCTCTGACCAGTGTCTCCCTGCGCATTTCAGATATATTGACCTCTTTTAGCCGCTCTGTTATTCTTTTCCGTCGCCTGTAAAGGGAGCGCCTGTTCTCTTTCTATTTTACATCTACTCCTCCTTTTTTCTTAGAGGAATAAGCCTTGTGCATACATCGAGTGCCACCGAGTTAATCTGTTCTAGGCATAAGTTTGGGTCTGTGTTGCTTAGTATATCTTCCCAGCTTATATCGTTTAGGACTTTGGTTTACTTGGTCCCACTTTATGTTTTTGTTATTAAAGTTGAATTTGGTGAATGCTCCCTCGTGACTAGTCTCATTTTGTCGGTCTGGGGCTCCACGCATACATGTCTGAACTCAATTAGTTGTGATCTGAGTTATATGTTTTTGATATGGTGACATTTCTTATCAGATCATCATTGTTAGTGAAGATGAGGTCTAGTGTATTCTCCAGTCTAGTAGGCTCTATTATTTGCTGGTTTAAATTGAATTTTGTGCAGAGATTTAAAAGCTCGTGTGAGTGTGAGTTTTCATCAGAGCTGCCTCCTGGTGTTATTACTGCAACAATATTATTTGCTATATTCCTCCATTTTAGGTGCCTTAAGTTGAAGTCCCCCAGGAGCAAGATGTTGGGTGCAGGAGCTGGAAGATTTTCCAGACAGTGGTCAATTTTTAACAGCTGTTCCTGGAATTGCTGGGATGTTGCATCTGGAGGCTTGTAGACTACCACAATGACTAGGTTTTGGTTCTCGACCTTTACTGCTAAAACTTCCACTACATCATTTGAGGCATTAAGCAGTTCTGTGCAAACAAGTGACTCTGCAATAGTGACTCTGTCATAGAAGCTAAGACATAGTTTTAAAACGAAAAAAAAAAAAATACATGACTGGGTGTGGGTGGGTGTGAGTTGGACCTAACTAGCTTGTGCTACTAGGTTGGATGCTGTGCTCCTCCCTTAAGTGACGTGTCTGACCTCACTAGGTCAGCGAGGTCAGATGGTCAGCGAGCTTAAGGTCACTAGGTCAGCGAGCTTAAGCCGGTGGGAGAACTGGACCTGCCTCACATAGGCCAGTAGGCCTGTTGCCGTGTTCCTTCTTTCTTATGTTCTTACAATCAAATGCAACTAATAAAATGCCTTATTAAGGTTTGGTTTCATTCTGCCAGAACTGAGGAATTATGCAAAACATTGATGGTTGTCATGGTGCCCACATGTTAAAGAACTTGAGGACACTAGGGATGGTCGGACCAAATAATAATCGATGTAAAATAGTTGACCTGTACTGGTGTATCAAAATAAATCCATTAGCAGTCAGTGAAATTGGTTTGACGCATTAGTACAAAAAAATCCATAATATCAATGCCATTACTGTATATAATTGACTATATATTAATTTTAACATCGATCCTGGTATTATACAGCTTATTTGTTACACATCCTTGTTGCTCACTGAAATATTATGTTACTGATTATTAAACATTATTATCAGTGTATCATTTTAAAGTTTTCTTCACTATTATTAAGTCAGTAGTTTTGCAAGAATCAAAGTTTATTTACAAGTGCATCATTCTTAATCTTTTATGTCCCAAACATCACAAATTTCACCTGAAAATACTTATTTTGATTTTTGGATTAGAATGAGATCAGTTAAACTTCAACTAAAAGTCAAATACAGTGGACCCCCGGGATTCGATGGCATCGGTATTCGATGGCATCGGTATTCGATAAATCCGGTATTCGATGCATTATATAGCAAAAAATTTTCCTCAGTATTCAATTGAAAACCCGGTATTCGATACGATTCCTACGAGACCTGTCCACATGTGACCTGAACTGCCCCGTGTGTGCCAGTGTTTACAAGCCAGCCAGTGTGCGCGCATCTAAGGATACATTCGGTACATTCCATATTATCCATATTATCACTGTGTTTGGTGCTTGTTTCTGCAAAATAAGTCACCATGGGCCCCAAGAAAGCTTCTAGTGCCAACCCTGTGGTAAAAAGGGTGAGAATTAGTATGGAAATTAAGAAAGATTTTGAAGGGTTTGGGGCTAACCCTGATAAGCCTATACCAGTTGTGGAATCCATTGTGCCTACTTCAAAAATTAAGGAAATGTGCACACAGTGGGTTGAAGTGCAAACCTTTATGGATGAAAATCACCCTAACACAGCTATTGCAAGCCGTGCTGGTGACTATTACAATGACAATGTTGTGACCCATTTTAGACAAATCGTAAAGGAACGGGAGGTACAGAGCTCTATGGACAGATTTGTTGTGTGACAGAGGTCCAGTGACTCTCAAGCTGGTCCTAGTGGCATTAAAAGAAGAAGGGAAGTAACCCCAGAAAAGGACTTGCTACCTCAAGTCCTAATGGAAGGGGATTTCCCTAGTAAACACTAACACCTCTCCCCTCCTCCCATCCCATCAATCATCACCAGATCTTCATTAAAGGTAAGTGTCAACTATTTTATTGTTATTGTAATTATTCTATTGCATTAAACTTAATATTTCATGTAGTAAATTTTTTTTTTTTTCATACTTTTGGGTGTCTTGCACGGATTAATTTGATTTCCATTATTTCTTATGAGGAACATTGATTCTGTTTTCGATATTATCGGTATTCGATGAGCTCTCAGGAACGGATTAATATCGAATACCGGGGGTCCACTGTATATTAATCATTATTCAGAGCTCTTACTGTTATGAAAACTTTTAATTTGTTTTAACCCGTAAACGTATATATACATTTTTTCAACATTTGAAAGTATGTAAAAAAGTAGATTTTGTTTTTTACATTTGAAAACGTGTAAAAAAAACTTTGATCTACCTTTTTTTTTTTTTTTAATATATTTGAAAATATGTAAAAAAAAGGTAGATCTACTTTTGGAGCGCTGCTGCTCGGACAGTTTAAGGGTTAAATACGACGAGAGTTGGATAATTGACTAACCTGAAGTCTGATAATTTCTGCATCAACTTTCTCAAGTTTCTTCTTGACACTGTCCACAGATTTTCTGAGTATCTTCATTTTTCCTTCTGTTATTTCCATAATCTGTTGATGAATTTTATTAACTTGTGTTTCAACTTCCTGAGCAGAAGCTGCCGCTACTTTGTAAATTTTCATCTTCTCCTCAATATTGTTTTCCATCTTCTTAATCTTTGTTGGGTCTGGTTTAACAGCATTAACTTTCTCTTCTTGCCTTCCTTTCTGGTCTTGCAAGGATACAAGTTGCTGATGAGCAGCTTCAATCTCCAATTTATACTTCTGAATGTTCAATTTTACCATCTTTAAATCCTCTGTTAGTTGTTGGATCGAGTCTTCTAGTTGAGCACGCTCTTTACGAAGTTGTCCAGCATGTTGTGTCAACTTCTCAACTTCCCCCTCTACAAGCTCAACTTCTCTAGTATCAACATTGAGAACAGCTGCTTGCTTACCCATACGACCACGAAGAACTGACCTCCCACCTCCACTCATAGTACCAGAGGGTTCAATCAACTCTCCTTTCAATGTTACTACACGATGCCGCACTCTTCCATATGCAATACGCGAAGCCTGATCTAGATCGTCAGCTACGAGGGTGTCCCGTAAAGCAAAATAAAATGCAGTTTTCAATTTATCGTCGTTTAATCTTACTAAATCAAAGAGGCGAGGTACATTTTCTGGAGTTTGTATTGACATCTCACACTGGCTTCTCCATTTTTCCATCTTATCCAGAGCTATGAAGGTAGCTGTACCAATATTGTTCGTCTTAAGAAAATTTATACATTTTTCACCAGTGTCCACTGAGTCAACAACTATATTGTCCAGTGGCCCACAAGCTGTACTAATGGCAACATCATATTTTGCATCAATGCCACCTAGATCACCCAATCGCCCAAACACACCAGTAATGCTTCCATTATTTCGTTGCTCCATAATTGCATCAAGAACGGTTCCCCGAGACCTGGATGACTGCATAGCACTGCGAGTCTCCTCAAGCTTCACTCGATGAATTCTCAGCTGTTCCTCAATCTTTTGCTGCTCAGGAATCAGGTGCTGAAGATTCTGCATGTCATTTTTAAGTTGTTCTTCACTCTTAGGTACATTATCTTCCATCATCGTTATTTCTTCTGTTCTTCGATGGATAGTATCCTGGGCCTTCTCTAATCCAGCAAGGATATGTTCAAGTTTCCTTTTTTCGTTTTGTTCTGTACTCTGGAAAATATTTAATTCACACTGAGCAATATCAAGTGCACTCTTAGCTTCATCAACTTCCTTCCTCAGGTCAACAAGACAAGTTTCAAATTTGGTTTTCTCATCTTGCAACTGTTGAGTTTCAGAGTTGAGAGTAGATATGACTTCGTGATAAGCTGTCTCTTCTTTCTTTCTCTCATTTTCCAGATCATCTCTCAGCTTCTGGCACTCCTCTATATCTTTCTCATTTTTTTCAGGTACTTTCCCAAGCTCTTCCAATTTACTTTTTTCACTAATATGCTGACTCATTAGTTTCTTCCTCCTCTGATTTTTGTGTTTAAGATCTTCCTGCATTTTAACATCCTCATTCTCCAAGGCTTTAAATTTTTCTGAACATTCCTCCTTTATCTTGCTAATTTTCTCCAAATTTTTCCCTAACTTTTTTATTTCTTCCTCCTTTTCTCTTTTCTTTGCATTAACCTCCTCTAGTTCCTTCTTCACTTCACTCATACCCTCGTCAATTTCTTGCTTCTTACCCTCTGCTTTTTCCTTTCTTCGTGAGCAGTCTAAATAGTAGCACTGGAAAAGTGTGTGTTTCTTGCTTGTTACTTCATTTTCCAGCCTCAAATGTTCAACAGCTTTATCTTTAGGCCCTTCTAATGCCTCTTTTTCTTCTTCCACTAATTTTACCCTGTTCAGTTTCTCTCTTCGTGCTTCATTTAAATCCTCCACTCTCTTGAACAGCATTTCAATTGGCTCTTTCAATCTTGATGAGCCAATAATATCCTCAATAAACTCTAGCATGCCAGTGTCATGTTCTGTTACAGCTTTGGGTTTCATCATAGCAATCTGTTCTACCTCACCTTGAAGAATGAGGAAGCGACTGTGGTCCAGGTCTATACCATGGGCTCGTAGTTGTCTTGAAACAGCCTTAAACTGGCATTTCTTGCCATTTATCTGATAGAAAGATGAATTATCACGAAAAGCAGTGCGAGAGACAACAAAGTGGGAATCAGGAACTACTTCAAAGTCATCGGAATCCTTGTCAATGATCTTCTGAAAATGAACAGAAACTTTACAGCTTTGAACATTCTGATGTTGTTCAGAATCATGGATCAGGACAGATATTTTCTTGGAACGGATTTTTGTAGCACGGTAGCCGAAGACAAACAGCATGGAATCAATAACGTTACTTTTGCCACTTCCATTTGGTCCAACAATAGATGTGAAGTTCTTGTGAAATGGTCCCAAAACCTACAGAAATTATTAGAATTAAGAAATATCAATTCCATTTCCTGTATAACTTAATTTTAACCCTTTCATGGTCGGCAGGCCCTCTCCTAGACTTGTTCTCAGGGTCGGAAATTTTTCGGAAAAAAAAAATTATTATTTTTCCTTATGAAATGATAGAGAATCTTTTCGAAATCATAATGACACCAAAAGCATGAAATTTGATGGAAAACTTATGGAATTATGCTCTCACGAAGTTAGAGGTCTCGACGATGTTTACGCATCGGCGATTTCGCACACTGAGCCCTATTTTCAGCCAATTCCAATGTACCAGTCAACAAAAATCATACCTATTTTGCTAGAACTCCATTTTTTCTATCGAATGAGTACAAAAAAACCACCCATTTACCAATTTCAACTATCCAGTAAAGTGGTCAGAAAATGGCAATTTTGCCAATTTCACACAAATTTCTGAAGATGCCAATTTCAAAATAGGGTCCAGAATAAACAAGACAGACATTCCTGGCACTAAAATAACATTTCCTTTGTTCATTACTCATGTCCCAGGCCTCTGTTACATTTCTTTTGCTTTCCACTTTGAATTTTTATTATCACAAAAAATAGAAGATTTATGTTATGCTGACAACCGCATTAGTGTATAAATGGTGTAGAAATGGTATAAATAATATCAGCGCACTTGTGAAAGAATATTAGACTCACCAGTTGACGTGTATTGGACGCATGGCATGATTTGTTTACCTTTGAACTTTGGCAAAAATCGAACATTTCTGCTACTTTGAGCTCAATTTCAAGGAACTTTTCATTGTGAAACCAGTCAAAATCATCTCAATTTCTGTAATATGTCTTCCATTCTATAAAATGAGACCAGGAAAACTAGAATACAACCATAAATAGCATACGAAAATACCCTGCAAAGTCGCTGTTTTAAACCAAAAACACAGTCAGTTTTTTTCCTTCTCATTATGCACTGTGTGCTGCAGGATTTTTTTTTATATTGTGCACACTGACCACAGAGTCATAGACCCATTCATAAGTAGGCCTACCAGCTTTCTCTCACTAGATTTGAAGGCGTTAGAATTTGCGAGTACTAGTACGGCACCAACCCTGGCGTGCAAGCCGTACTAGTACGGCAACAACCATGAAAGGGTTAAATCATGTATTTATGATGCCTTTCAAGTCTAATAAGAGCATTTGATATAGTGATGCTAATGATCCTTTATTAATAATGTGCATAACATTAAGAGCTCGTAATGGCATGATTGCAAACACCCCGTACCACGGGTGGGGTTTGAACCCATGATCAGGGTCTCAAAACTTCAGACCGTCGCATTAGTTTGGAGACTCTCTGATCATGGGTTTAAACCCCACCTGTGGTATGATTTATTAAGAGTTCATGTACAGAATACTCTCAAGTTTTCATTGAAACAGCAGCTACTTTCCTCGATACAGCGGAACCTCGGTTGTTGAACTTAATTCCTTCCAGGTGTCGATTCGACAACCAAAGTAATTTTTTATATAACGAATAACAAACAAAATTAATCAGTTCCAGACCCCATATGACAATATAATAATTTATTAATAATATACGAACTACTACATAAAACAATGTATAAAATTATACAGCAAAGGGAAACTTTAAAAATGAATTCTAAATGAAAATTTAACTGCCCTTACCTGTCAGAGGAGAGGTAATGGCAAAACTCTAACAGCTTCAAATCTTGTGGGAGAAAGCTGATAGACCTACATGTGAGAGAATGGGTCTGCATGGTGAGTGTGCGCAGTATAAAAAAAAAAAAAAATCCTGCAGCACGCAATGCATGAGAAAAATAAGCGACAGTGCTTTTGGTTTAAAACAGCGACTTTCGTACGGCATTCTCGTTTCTTGGTCCCATTTGATAGATATATTACAGAAATAGAGACGATTTTGAATAGTTTACAGACTAAACATAGCCTGAAATTGAGCTCAAAGTAGCAGAAATGTTCAATTTTTGCCGATCTTCAAGAGTAAACAAATTTAAGTCACATGTCCAATACATGTCAACTGGTGCGTCTAATATGCATCCAAGAATTTGTTGATATTATTTATACAATTATTACAATTATGCAGCAGTCTAACAGTAAATCTTCTATTTTTTGTGAATACCTGGAGAGGGTTTCAGGAGTCAACGCCCCCACGGCCCAGTCTGTGACCAGGCCTCATGGTGGGTCAGGGCCTGATCAACCAGGATGCTACTGTTGGCCTCAGGCAACCTGACGTACGAACCACAGCCCGGCTGGTCAGGTATTGACTTTATAAAGGTACCTGTCCAGTGCATTCTAGAAGACAGATGAACAGTCTTGGGCCCCCTCACACTGTGTGTTGTCTCTTATCGTGTTAATGGCACCCATGCTTTTCATTGGGGGAATGTTGCATCTCCTGCCGAGTCTTTTGCTTTCACAGGGAGTGATTTTCATGTGCAAATTTGGTATTAATCCCTCTAGGATTTTCCAAGTGTAAATAATCATCTATCTCTCCTGCCTGCATTCTAGGGAGTAGAGGTTGAGGAACTTCAAGTGTTCCCAGTAAATGAGGTGTATTATCGCAGTTATGTGTGCCTTGAAGGTTCTCTGTGCACTATCTAGATCAGCAATTTCACTTGCCTTGGAAGGTGCTGTTAGTGTGCAGCAATATTTCAGCCTAGTTAGAACATGAGACCTGAAGAGTGTCATCATGGGCTGGGCATCCATAGTTTTGAAGGTTATCATTATCCATCCTGTCATTTAACTAGCAGATGCAACTGATGCTATGTTGTGGTCTTGGAAGGCAAGATCCTCTGACATTATCACTTCCAGGTCTTTTAAGTTAGTTTTCTGTTCAACTGTGTGGCTGGAATTGGTCTTGTACTCTGATATACAGTGGACCCTCAACCAGCGATGGCATCGATTAACGATAAATCTGACTAGCGATTCATTTAAACGCAAAAATGTTGCCTCGGCAAGCGCTTAAAAACCCGACCAGCGCTATTCGTTCCGTACCATACGCGTCCACTTTGGCCTGAGCGCGCCTCACTTGTCCCTTTGGTGCTAGTGTTTACAAGCCAGCCAGCCACCGCGGTCGCTTCCAAACATACAACTGAAACATTTCATATTATCACAGCCTTTTTAGTGATTGCACCTGCAAAATAAGTCACCATGGGCCCCAAGAAAGCTTCTAGTGCCAACCCTACAGCAAAAAGGGTGAGAATTACTATGGAGATGAAGAAAGAGATCATTGATAAATATGAAAGTGGAGTGCGTATCTCTGAGCTGGTCAGGTTGTATAATAAACCCCAATCAACCATCGCTACTATTGTGGGCAAGAAAACGGCAATCAAGGAAGCTGTTCTTGCCAAAGGTGCAACTATGTTTTCGAAACTGAGATCGCAAGTACTTGAAGATGTTGAGAGACTGTTATTGGTGTGGATAAACGAGAAACAGATAGCAGGAGACAGCATCTCTCAAGTGATCATATGTGAAAAGGCTAGGAAGTTGCATGATGATTTAATTAAAAAAATGCCAGCAACTAGTGATGTGAGTGAATTTAAGGCCAGCAAAGGTTGGTTTGAGAGATTTAAGAAGCGTAGTGGCATTCATAGTGTGATAAGGCATGGTGAGGCTGCCAGTTCGGACCACAAATCGGCTGAAAAATATGTGCAGGACTTCAAGGAGTACATAGACAGTGAAGGACTGAAACCTGAACAAGTGTTTAATTGTGACGAAACAGGCCTGTTTTGGAAGAAAATGCCAAGCAGGACGTACATTACTCAGGAGGAAAAGGCACTCCCAGGACATAAGCCTATGAAAGACAGGCTTACTTTGTTGATGTGTGCCAATGCTAGTGGTGATTGCAAAGTGAAGACTTTATTGGTGTATCACTCTGAAACCCCCAGAGTGTTCAGGAAAAACAATGTCCTCAAGGCTAATTTGTGTGTGCTGTGGAGGGCAAACAGTAAGGCATGGGTCACTAGGGACTTTTTCTATGACTGGTTACACCATGCATTTGCCCCCGATGTGAAAAATTACCTAATTGAAAAGAAATTAGACCTTAAGTGCCTCCTGGTATTAGACAATGCCCCTGGTCATCCTACAGATGTGGCAGAGCGACTTTCTAGGGACATGAGCTTCATTAAGGTGAAGTTTTTGCCTCCTAATACCACTCCTCTCCTGCAGCCCATGGACCAGCAGGTTATTTCCAACTTCAAGAAACTGTACACAAAAGCCGTTTGAAAGGTGCTTTGTAGTGACCTCAGAAACTCAACTGACTCTAAGAGAGTTTTGGAAAGATCATTTTACCATCCTCAATTGTGTAAACATTATAGGTAAGGCTTGGGAGGAAGTGACTAAGAGGACATTGAACTCTGCTTGGAAAAAACTGTGGCCAGAATGTGTAGACAAAAGGGATTTGGAAGGGTTTGAGGCTAACCCTGAGAATCCTATGACAATTGAGGAATCCATTGTGGCATTGGGGAAGTCCTTGGGGTTGGAGGTTAGTGGGGAGGATGTGGAAGAGTTGGTGGTGGAGGACAGTGAAGAACTAACCACTGATGAGCTGCTAGATCATCTTGAACAGCAAGAGGGCAGACCTGAGGAAACTGCTTCGGAGGAGGGGAGAGAGAAATTGAAGAAGTTGCCTACTTCTAAGATTAAGGAAATCTGTGCAATGTGGCTTAAAATGCAAAGCTTTATGGATGATAATCACCCTGACACAGCTACTGCAAGCCGTGTTGGTAACCTGTACACTGACAATGTTGTGAACCACTTTAGGAAAGTCATAAAGGAACGAGAAGTACAGGCCTCTATGGACAGATATGTTGTGCGACAGAAGTCCAGTGACTCTCAAGCTGGTCCTAGTGGCATTAAAAGAACAAGGGAAGTAACCCCAGAAAAAGACTTGCTGCCTCAAGTGCTAATGGAAGGGGATTCCCCTTCTAAACAGTAAGAAGATAACGCTCTCCCCTCCTCCCATCCCATCAATCATCACCAGA